ATAAATAAATAAATAAATAAATAAATAAATAAAATTGTTTTTTTTTGTTTTTGTGTTTGATTATGATATAGTATTATAAGGTATTTTTAAGACAGTGATTATCTCTAAGTTTAATATATATGCTAGATTTTTAGTATGAACCCTAGCCCTTTAGTATTGCAATTTGTTAATTTTTATTAGGGTCCTTCCCTAAGAGTTTGAGATGGGTCTTTTTTTTTTTTTCAGTTTAATTTCATTGTATATTTTGGTACTCTTGTTTATTTTCTGTAATCTGTAACCTTCTAAGACAAAGAAAAAAAGAAGTAAAACCAAAAACCAAAAAATCACTGACCACCTCAGAGAAATAAATCAGTCCCTTGCCTGTTCGATGTGTGTGGCTTCATTTGGCAATGCAGCTCCTGAGCATGTGCCGTACAGATGCAAAGGCCACAAGGCACATAAGAGAACAACAACTGATGGTGGCAGATTGGACCTGGGCTTGACTACTGAGACAGAATACTGTAGTAGTGTAATGTCCTTCTGCGAGCCGAAGTGCTTCCTTGAGGCAGATGACCCATAATCCATATCCATTAATATATTCGACTTAACAACATAAAATATATGTATTATCTTAAGATACTCATCTGCATTTTTTAAAAATTTAGGACACTTATATGTTGCATATTATACTTGGATATTTGTGTGAAAGTGCTTAGGGTGACATGTGCCAGTTACTACAAAGAAAATATACCATTAGATATTTAAAATGATCGCTAGTTAGTATCAACTGAGACAATCTCTCCTGCCAACAAGAGAACTGGATACTTGAAGAGTTCCATTTATAGCTCTGAAATATTTTCTTTCTTTTTTTTTTCCTTTTTAAGTAAAATCCTGGCTTCATGCAAGTTTTATTTGTGTGCAAAATGTTAATGGTGGCTTAAGGCAAAATAATTTTATGAATGAATGGACTTAGTTACATTGTACATGAAAATCTTTTGATACAGGGGAGCATTAAGGTATTAGAGGATAAAAGCTTGAATCATCTCCCTTAATGCATTAGTTTACAAAACTGAGTCAGCATCAAGTTAGTCCTGGGCATATATTCCAAATTTCAGCAAAAATTGGTATCTTAGTGTTTAAAGGCAATTCATGGTACAACCAGATATCAACTAAATTAAAAAAGGTTATTTTGAACTGTGATTAACTCCTGGTGATTTTATGGAAACCTCCATGAAATTTTCTTGGCATCATTACAGAAATAGTTTATCATTGCCTTCTTTCAGGATTTCTCTCCCCCACTTCTCCCCAAGTTTCTCAGTCGAGCCTAAATCATGGCATTTCTTGATAGTCTCTCATCCAAATATGAAGCAACTTTTTCAGATCACTTAAGGTTGGCTAGGTTTTACCACCTAGCTGAACTTTGAGAAAAAAGAATGTATAACTTCAGTAAAAGTTTGAAAATTAATGGGGTAAATCAATTTGATCTTTGCAAAGTTAGACATATGTCAAGTCTGTGGCTCATCACAGTATCGCTGCTCTGATATTTTGAAAGCTTTCCCAAGAATTTACTTTATTTGATTTATTCCATGAATTTCTACTCCAGCAAGTTCTCAAGGTGACTATCAACATCAAACGAACAAAACAAAACAGAACATGAAAATGTTAAAAACACAGATTAAAATTAACACAAAAATGGATACTTAACAGTGAAGCCTCTTGAATTAAACTCAGCTCTTGGTGACTACACAAACACACCCATGTAGTTTTCTTAGCGACAATAAGAAAGTGATTTCCTTTTTGACTTCCCAATCCAATAAACAGCTCTGGAATTTTCTGGTGCCTCCCATCAAAGTACTAAACAGGTCTGATGCTGTTTAACTTTTTTGAGATCAGTTGAGGTAATTAGGTGCTGCCATTGCTGTGACTAAAGTTATTAAGCAATTAAAAGCCTGATGAAATAAATGCATCTTACTGATTTTCTAAATGCTGGGAAAGTGGGAGCCAATTTAAGCATGGAATTAAACCCTCTCCTGCATGCCAGAAAGATGAGCTTCTGACAGCGGGTGCATCTTCAAGAGAGTGTAAACTGGCTTGCAAACTTCTTGCCACAGTTGCTACCTGTTGTAATGGTATGTGGGAATGACCTTGGGAGACAGGGGGAAGAGCCACAGCTCTTATCACAGGATGAGAGGCAGCTTAGCCCACAGAAGAAATGTGGACATGGCAAATGTCTCAGAGGGGACCCTCCGTAGTTTCCTGGGCTAGAAAGGCAATGGGAGAGAAATGTACTTTCAGATTTGCAAGATTGATGTCAGCCTTGCGGGATAGTCCAGACAAGAAGCACACCCAGATGAACCAATTCTACTTTATTGCAAGATTACATGAACATAATCTTGCAAGTCTGAAAGTACATTTCTCCCCCCTCGCTTTTAAAGCCCAAGAAACCAGGCAGAGTCCCTTCTGTGATGTTTGCCACACCCCCATTCTTTGCTCATCCCTCCCAGGAACAACCCCCACCCCATGATGAGGCAGCACAGGAAGACCTTTGGTGGGAGGGGGCTGAACTATTAAGGAAGATGAATTTCCTCTAGTTTGATGATAATCCATAATCCACAGAAAATTAGACATCGTAAGCGTTCCCATCTTTTGATTTTAATGTAAGAAAACAAGTTATTTGCACTGTTAAATAATTCCACATATACTTTGTAATATAACTAAATTTAGTTCAATCCATCGAAAGATATTTTAGGTTTGCACGATGCTTGAAAATGTAATGTATGCATGAGATAAAACTTCCTTAAAGCTCCCCCTTGGATGCCTTTGACTTTGCTTTCACCGCGTTTTTCCCCCTCAATAGTTTATTGAGTACTTCAGATGAAGTTCATAAAGTTTTTTGGAACAGATAAACACTAGCACTCAAGAACGCAATACACACAAACGCACGTGCACACACAGTTAAGTCTGTGCACTTTTTGTTTGTCTGCGTAGAGCAAGGCATTCATTCACAAAAAGGGTTTCTTGAGAGGAGGACTCTAGCGGTAATAATAGTAGCTTAGGAAAGCTGTACTTACCACATTGACATTAAAAGCATAAAGGAGATCAAAAGGAAGGGCAGCTATTAAGTCAATGATAAACCAGGTAGTCACATAGTGGATACAAATAGATCTTGCTTCAAATATTACTTGGCCAGACTTGCTGACGTATGTAGTTCGGAAATTTAAAATAATATCTGCTTGACAAAGAGAAATGCAGCGGTTAGAAATGACAACTAGATGATAATCAAGAGATAAAAAGAATGATGGGTACTTTCATATTGTCTTCTGAATTTTTATTTAAACCAGTCATCTATAATTAAAAGACATTTTAATGGAAATAGTTTCAACTGGGTTTTTTTCCCCCCACTGTTATAACTTTGTCTGTGTATTCATTACTGGTAGTTCCTAATATCTTCCACATTTTAGCATGGAGCATCTTCTGTAATTTTCCTAGTATGATGCCTCATCATAACTTTATGCTGTACACTGAACTGCCCATCTTGCTAAACATAGAATAGAAACAGTTGGAAATATGCTGTGCGACTGAAACCACATACAAGTCTAAAAATGTGCAGGTTATTACCTAAAATGCAGGCTAAATGCACTAAGCCAGCTTTCAGTTTTTTCAATACTTAACCCTTAACCAGTTTCATTAATATCATTCTTATACCTAGTTGAGTAACTTTTGTTATCATCCAATGCATAAATAACTCCAACTTTATTCCAGTATATAAGGACAGTTTCAACTGGCACCCTGCCATGATGACATCATGTTGGAGAGAAACAGGAAGATGCAAAAATCCAAATGCCCAGTTAGAATATTAAACAAAACCAAATCCAAACTCTGTGACTAGCAGCTAGATTGTCAATAAGGACAAGAAGTAGATAAGAGAGTAACTACAAATATTACCAGGAAGGAGAAGACCTCTGGATTAATTTGATTTATTATGAACTTGCTAAATGAGATTTCAGTGAGATTCTAAAGCAAAATCCTATTCATCCTTTGCAATTCCCATTAAGTCCAATAAGACATATTTTAAATCCAAATTATAATGGCCTACAACATACTTCAGCTGGACTAGAACCATTTTACCTTATATGAACTTACAATTTGAGTTCTACCTCTAAAACAGATCTTATGGATTAAGCCAAAAATACAAGCAATTATTACATCAAGAATTCTTTTCTAGGAATCATATATATTCATTCATTTCACAGCTTCTTTGTTACTGAAGTTGGGAACATACAGATGGATATTGAATAATTAATCACTACCAAGAAAGTGTATTTATTTCAGAATAAAGCAAATATGACTAACACCTGTTTGATAAAAGTTTAATAGATATACAACATCCATCTTCAAAGTAATGTTCTACACATCATAGTGAAGCCCTATTCAGAATAGGAAAGCTGAATCAGCTAAAATAGTGTTAAATATTGGGAACAATCAATCAGTGTGTACAGTTCGTTAATTTCTATGATTTATTTATTCCATAATTATGCTATAGTCACATTGCTTTTTGCTACTGAGAAATCCATGCTAGAACATGTTAACACTCAAATAAAAGTTTAGATCCTGACAGTTGTCTCAAAATATTTTCATGTCCTACAAGATAAGAACCATGTATTGCCCTCAAGCTAAGCATACAATTCTGGCTGGTGTCAAATTTTGCTAGAAACTGGAGTTGCTGGTATTATTTCTACTAAATCCAAAACAGTGCATATTCTTAAGTATCATTCCTTGCTTTAATTCAAGCCAGGTAGTCAAAAACATAGGCTTGAATTAACCTGCCATTCAGGTTTCAAATACTGACATTTTCAGGTAGAACATCTGAATCCAGTTTGTCATTTTCAATCTGTCCATCCAGTTTTGCATCAGCTTGCGTTTGTCATACTTACTTCTTAAAAGAAGTTCACAAATGATCATTTATCCTAAGAAATATATACTTGTGTGTGCGTGTGTGTATGTGCATATTTCTAATATGCATATTTTCCAAGTAATTTTCACTTCTCCATTATTTTTACCAATATAAAATATATTCACATTTTGTGAGCATTTCCCCCAGCTATCAGCATTTCTTCAATGCATTTATTATTTGGGAAAGGACATCACAAAGTTGACTATCAAGGGATAAATGCATTTTAATTCACATGTGCCTGTCCTTGAAAACAGTTGAATAAATGGCTTCTCATCATTGAAAATGCAGCAGCTGTCATTCTGACTTGCTTACCTAAGAGGGAATCATGTCATATCCATTCTTAGAGAATCTCGCCCTCACTTGCTGCCCCCAATTCAAGCTGTTAGTTTTCATCTTAAACCC